GTCACATCATATCCCAGACCAACCGAGGAGAAATTACTCTCTCCTCTGCACAGCCTCTGCAGCCTTCCCACAGCCTTTGAGGACGGTAGGGATACGGCCTGGCAGAAAAGGGATTTCCCTTCTGCTGGGGAACAGGTGCCCAAGGAACGTTCACATCCCACGTGCCGCTGTGTAACCGCTCCATGCCCGTGCCCCACGTGCGTCTGAATGGGCAGCACAGCTTTTGGTTCACTCAGCTGCCTGTGGCACAGCACATCAGGCTTTCTGCAGGCATGAGAAATCATCCCATCGCTTTGTGCCTTACAACGAGTCGAAAACCTTCTCTTCTCAGACTCCGACTTCCAATCCCGACACCTACAGAGAAGCAGATTCTGTTTTTCTAATATCCTTCAACTCCAAGCCCATATTTTCCCAAAAGAAAAGAATTCCGAGGTAACCACCTACAGTTCAGCGAGCGATTTCAGTGCCTATTTCTGATTGTGGCAATTATTCAGTTCAGAGGTCCCAAGTAATTTGAGGTGCCTGTTTTATTTCAGACAAAGGCTAGAGGGTTGCAGCTGACTCCCCAAGACTGCAATAGGAGGTGGTGACACAGCCTTGGGCTTCTGTGTTTGTGCTAATCCCACGTTTCCTTTCTCTGCCTTGCAGGGCAGCTCGTGCTGCAAGCGGCCAGGATCGCACTGTGAATGAAGGTCGGCGTGGGAGCAGCTGCTGATGGGAGCAGGAAGTCCAGGCTGATGCACTCTGAGGCATCTCTTGGTGCGGTACCAGAGGTGGCAGTAATGATGTGGGGGCACAGCTGCAGAAGAACGTGAGGAGGTCCCCAGCAGGAAGCCACAACACCTGCAGAAAGCTGCAGGAGAGCCAGAGCGTGCGCGGGAGCCCAGGAGGAAATGCAGCCCAGGAGTTGGAGCGGCGCCTGGCAGTGGAGTGCTGCGGCCCACGGCCAGAGCTATTCTGCCTTCGCCGGGCCGGCTTCCCAAACAGGACGTGTCTGTCCTCGTAAAACCAGAGGGCTGGCTCATCCAAATGCTTGCTGATTGTTTGGAAGATCAAATTCTGAAGCTCAAATCCTTCCAGCCTCCAAGCTGGAGGCAACATCTCCCGGGTCCAATCATGTGCCGCCAGAGCGAGAGGGTGACCCGAGATGGCTGCACAAGAGTCACCTTAATTTCACTTAAAATCTTACTTCCAATAACCCCACTGGGTGACCCCTGTGTCGGTCTCTTGGAATTTGGATCTAGGAGGTGTCTGCTTCCTTTGCTTAGAATGAAAGCTCAGGAGTGATGCGGAACCATGGTGAGGTCACAGTCGTTGCTGGGGTGGCAGGGCTTGGCCCTCCGTGGCGAGCAGAGCTGGTGCTCTAGTGAGCGAGTGGCACACAGAGACTGAGCTCTGAGCGTTTTGTGGCAAGGATCATCCTTGAGAGCCCGTCAGAAGCACCGCTGCGGCGTGTGTGTGACCTGGGCACAGCCTGGACTGACCTGGACCAAGAGGTGAGCTGGGCTTGGTGCTGCGTGGTGGCTGGAAGGAGTCTCAGCAGAAAAGCTGGGCTGGGGAGGACTTCCCAGCTCAAACGAGGCCCTTCCCAATGGCTGTTGCCAGGGGAAATTGTCTGAGAGACTGTGGCACACGTTTGGGTGAGGATGACGAATTGCCATCACTCCCCTGTGTAACGCTGCAGTGCAATGGAAAGTGCAGCAGTAACAAACGGGTGGCAAAGTCCGAGACTGCAGCAAGGGAGGATTTGCCCAAGTGCAGCAGTTGGGGACACAGAAAGAAAGGAAAAAAGCTGCTGAGCCTTGGAAGGCCCCAGGTAGCAGGGATCTCCACTCAGACACCCTTGCCTCCACTGCCAACCCTTCACTGATGTCTGGGAAGAGTTTGTGTGCACCTGAGCTGCCCTGCCTTCCCACCAGGTGCTCAATCACTGCCTCAAGCTGTGACTGACCATTGCCACTACAGCCCTGCAGAACTGCTGCTGGGCCCCAGCCTTCACCTCAGACAGGACAAAGGAAGAAGGGCACAGACTTGATGCAGTGCAACTTGTGCTTTAATGACCCACGGAGCGCTGGCTGTGCCGTATCCAGCCCATTTTTAACAAAACCCCACTGAAGTCCCGGTGGAGAGCCGGGTGCTCAGCTGGGGACATGCACTGTCCGGTGACATCACAGGCACGGTGACATCACAGGCACTGTGCTGGGGCCGTGGCTGCCACCAGTGAGTGCCACAGCCGTGAGCGCTGCGCAGCAGTGTGGACACGCTGCGTCAGCTCTCGTCCCGGCTGGCAGTGAGAGTGGTGGTGGCTGACGGGTGCTGCCCGCTGTCGCTGACGGTGCTGCTCAGCCATTGGGCTGGAGTGTGAGCTGGAAGGGAGAGGGACTGCAGCTGTGCCTGGTAAGCCAGAACTGTAGGTTCGTCAAACGTGGGAGTCGTACCAGTGCATCCATTGCAGCTGCAGCAAGAGGAGAAGATGAAGGGGGTCATTTTCATGTCAGGAACGCAAAATGCGTGCTGCTAGGGGTATAACTGGTGGTGAGATGGAGGACAGAGCTTGCTGGGAGAAGTGGTGGCAGTTAGACACAAGGTGGATCTAGACTTGGCACAGTTCTTGCAACCTGCTGCTTCCCAGACACTGTCCTCCTCCAGAGTCCATGCGGCATGAAAGAAGAAAGCTGCCAAATGCTTCTTCCTCATGATTCTTCCCTTGTTGACGCCTCCTCTAGGGTTCCTGTCCGAGAGGACATTTTGTGGATCCCAGCAGGTGCGGACTGCAGCCGGCTCCTTCATAGAGCAGGGAATTCCTTTGGAGACAGCCCATCCTTGCTCCAAGAAGTTCCCCATGGCTCTGCAAGGAGACGACTGCTACTACTATTTCAACTCCGTCTGTCTTAAGGTACGCTTGGGAGTCTTTTGCCTGGATTTCCTTCCTTTCCTCGCTTTGAAGAGGAAGGGCTGGAGCAGGGGGAGACCTGCTGGCGATGCGTTGCCTTCCTCAGCAGAGGCATTGTGCGCTCCCTGCTACCAACCTGGGCCGACAGCACGGACGTCTTTCAGGCTGTGCTCTTATTCTCCTGTGTGCTCTCCTTTTGCTCACAGGGAGACAGATGTCCCTTCCGCCACTGTGAGGCGGCTCTGGGCAGCGAACGAGTCTGCCGACTGTGGATACAGGGCTGCTGTTTCCGCAACGACTGCAAGTTCAGACACATGAAAATTGAAGTGAGTGTTTGCCTGAAGATGAGCTCTCCACCTCCCTCAGGCACCACCTGCAGCGCTGCATCTCTCTGCAAACCTCCTCTGCCTGTTTCCATGACCCTTCCTTGCTTTCTCTCTTCAGAAGAAGCGCAGCGCGGTTCCCTGCTACTGGGAGAATCAGCCGGGAGGCTGTCAGAAAGCCCACTGCCGTTTTCTTCATTTGAAGGAACGCGGTGGGAACGGACCGACCGTACCACCAAGTGACGGTGAGTTCCTGATGGCATGAAGCAGGACAGACTTAATGATGAATATTGCTCCTGAGCGGGTGCAGGATGTCAGGTAACCATTCATTGGGGAGCGCAGGGAAGAGTGGTGATCAGTGAAATATTGGTTTGTGTTTGGGCTGTCAGAATAGGGGTGGGTGTTTTCTGGAGAGAGGTCAATGCATTGCAGGTCTGTGCCGACTGCAGAAATGGCACAACATCTTATCAGCAAAAGGCAAACGCAAGAAACTATGCTTGAAAATTGGAAGCTTGTGGCTTGGTGTGCTGAAACCTTCCTCCAAAGAGATGCTCTTCAATTATTTCTTGTCTCCTTTCTGCCAGAAGCTGACACAAGTGGCCTCCCTCTGAACAGCAGCCCTGCAGAAAGTCTGGAGAACCACACAGAGGTTGAGGAGGCAGCAGAAGGAGGTACAGATACTGAACAGGCATCTGGGTTTGAGGCGCTGCCTTTCGACTCCCATGTTCTGATTGTTCTCTCCTGGACTGTTCTCTGCAGGTGACATCCCATCTTCCTCCCATGGCCCCGCTGCGCAAAAGCGCAAGCAATGTGATGAGGAGGAGGACGACAAAGCTGAGGAACTGCCGCGCAAGAAAAGAGTCAAGGGTGAGCACCAGGAGCTTGTTGCAGTGCCTCAGCACAGTAATGCTGCCACTCAGCGTTGTTCTGTGTCAGAGTTTTCCTTGCCCTGGACTGTTGCTGAGTGCAGCTCTTGGCACCTTATCAGCAACCTCTTCCTTTTCCTTCAGCTGGACGCAAGGTGCGCGGGAGGCCTATTGACTGGAAGACCACCTTCCCCACAATGCGGAGACTGAAGCGCAAAGCAGCGGAGATGCAACCATCTGCTGCTGAGGACGCCGACGAGCCCCCAGCCAGAAAACTGCCTATGGTAAGAGCTGCAGCAGTGCATATGAAAGGTTTACACTGCTCTCGTAGTAATGGTACAAGTTTCAAATGTTCCACAGGTCTTCTGTTTCCTCGGAAGGCAGCAGGTGTCTCCCAGGGCACTTGTGGAAATTCTCTGTTGCAATTAGATGTACACAGATTTTGTCCATGAACGCTGCGATGCTAAAAACTCCCAAGGTCACTTGTAACCTTCAAGGGAACGCTTTCTTCAGGAGCAAGGCGCTTCTGTATCTGGGATAAGGCTCCGCAGCGCCCAGGGAAGGGAGGAGCAGTCCTCAAAGATCATCTGGTGTTGCTCCTGTCCTACTGTGGCCAGGGATGCCAGCCACATGATTCTAATGCCTGGAAACCCATCCAGCCAGGCCCAGAATGCCTCTGGCAATGGGGCATCCACAGCTTCTCCGAGAAGAAGAGCCACTTAGAAAAGCTTTGAGCCCTGCTTCACACACACACTCTTGTTTCTTCCTAGGCGATCCTTGCTTCAGTCCCGCCCGAGTACACCCTGGTCAGCGTTGAAGTCCTGAAGCTTCCAAGCAGGTGATGACCGCTACTTGTTCTTCACCAGTGCCCTTCTTCCATTGCACATAAGTTCTTTCACATCAGGGGACACATGGAGTGTCTGAGATGTGCCGTGGCATAACCCAACAAAGGAAGAAGTCATCTGCACTAATTTCAATTGCTCACTCAAAGTCTCTGCTGAGTATGTCACGGGGAGCAGGAACTCAGTCTCTAACAGGTGCACGTAACAGAGGATGACTTCTTCATGCATTTACAGTCAAACAATGAGGCTGGCAGTGTGCTTCTGCTACAAAACCTGGCCTGTCAGGTGCTGATTGTTCTCTTCCTTGTTCTCCCCAGTCTGGAACTGCTTCCAGGAAGCCAGGCAGACTCTGTGGCACCACCAGAGATCCCACACTCAACATCCCGTGCCACACAAGAAGCTGACCAGGCGCAGCAGCTGAGCTGCACAGAGGTGGGGAAAGAACACTTCTCTGAGGATGAGGACCTCGAGAAGTTACTGATGGAAGTCACTGATGAAGAACTGGACGCAGAAATTGATGACGACTCTGTGGATATAGATGAGCTCCTAATGGAGCTCTGAGACCAACGACATCACAACATCATAGTCTGATTGTATATTTTACAACAACAACAACGACCATCAATTAAAAACAATCCTATGCCTTTTCAACCCTTTTCCTTGTCTTTCTTATTCTGAGGGGACGCTCTTTCTCAATCTGTGCAGTGAATCTTAAAGCAGAGTCAAACTGGTCAAAATCAGCAGTGCCTGCATTCTGTTCTCCTGACTTCCCTGCTGCTCAGAGTTCAGGGGCCGTGCACCCACTCCCCAGCCCTGGGCGGCTGCCTTCAGCATCAAGAGCACAAAGCACTGGTGTGGGCACAGAAAGACGTCCATCCGCAAGGCCAAACCTGAAACCTCTTCCTTCCTCCCCCCTTAGCAAAACTCTGCATTGGCTTCAAGTGGAAGCTCTGGGGTTCTGCTTCCTTCAACACTGCTTTTGTGTCAACTGCAGCGCTGCCACCCCCACCTCCCACTTTCTCCCCCTTCCCTCAGCTCTCACGCTGCATGGTGCGGTTCTTCTCCTTGAACAAAAGCTGCACACCCAGTACAACCAGCACACCCCTTTCCTTGCCTACACCCTGCTTGCCCGTGGGCAGCAAGGGGCAGCGGCTTGCAGCGTTAGGGCAATCCCTTATTGCATCTGACTCCTGCTGCTCATCCCATTGCCCAAGAACAGCGGTGGAGTCACTCAGCTCCTGACAGCCCAGTGCATCTGCACTGGATCCTGGCCAAGGGGGCAGCACGGAATTGGTGAGGCCAGCAAGTGCTGGCGCTTGTGCCGCTGGCGCTAAGGAGCAGAAGGTGGCACCATCCATGGAGCTGCTCTGTACAAGCACCTGGCCCAACCTGGGTCGGGACGCCTCTCAGCGATGAACACAGCCTCAGGGCTGTCTATCAGTGGAAGCTGGGGCAAAGTCCTGCCACTCGAGTCAGCCACAGTCATCATCTGCTGAGGAATGGCAGTGCATGGTGAACGTCTGCTCTACATTCAAGGCGAGGGAAACCGTGAGCAGAGGCCAGCTCACTCTTCTTACATTCACTTCCCTACTTGTTTATCTCTTTAAATTATAGCATTTCTATCTCAAATGTTGTTGTACATCCACACATTTCTCTTTTTCTGTGTGTGCCCGTGACCATCCGTACACAGGTGTAGGGCATTATGTGAGCCAGTGTGGATCTTGTCCTTTCAGATTAACATAACAGGTTCCAGTTCATGTGCTATGTTCAAACCAGGAACACTAATGCCCTTTCAGTAATAACTCCCATGTGTGCCCTAGGCCCTGCTCCTATTAACAGAACAGCAGATATTATTTGCAGCTTAGACACAAAGTCGGCGACCGTCATCGCTCTACGCAAAGACTTCCACAAATACGGACAGACAGAGTTGCCACTTACAGAGAAGACCAACAGGAATTGTTCGTGTAACGTGAAATGCCCTCCTCTGCAACCTCCAAGGAATAAAGGTGCTCAAAGCTCACCTTTCAAACACCTTCAGAGGTTTTTGAGAAGGCCATATGTCTTCACAACTTGCTGCAGGCTGTTTCCTGGAGTGTGTGCTTGCATGTGACAGCCCTGGCAAGCATGGCAACGTGTTAGAAGTCTGATCAACATCAGGAAAACTGCATTCAATGCAGAAAATCACAGAATGGCCTGGGTTGGAAGGGACCTCAAGGATCATGAAGCTCCAGCCCCCTGCCACACGCAGGGCCACCAGCCTCCACATTTCACACCAGCCCAGGCTGCCCAGGGCCCCATCCAACCTGGCCTTGAACACCTCCAGGGATGGACGGGGCATCACAGCCTCTCTGGGCAGCTGTTCCAGCACCTCACCACTCTCACAGCAAAGAACTTCCCCTGACATCCAACCTCAATCTGCCCTCCCTCAACTTCAAACCATTTCCCCTTGTCCTGCTGTTATCCACCCTTTTCAGGAGTTGACTCCCCTCCTGTCTGTAGGCTCCCTTTAGGTACTGCAGGCTGCAATGAGGTCACCCCCAGCCTTCTTTGCTCCAGGCTGAACAAGCCCAGCTCCCTCAGCCTGTCTTTGCAGTGGAGGTGCTGCAGCCCCTGATCATCTCTGTGGCTCCCCTGCACCCTCTCCAACAGCTCCCTGTCCTGCTTGGCCTGGGGGCTCCAGCCCTGGACGCAGTGCTGCAGATGGGGCCTCACAAGAGCAGAGCAGAGAGGGACGCTCACCTCCCTGTCCCTGCTGCCCACCCCTCTGCTGATGCAGCCCACGATCCCGTTTGCTTTCCCAGCTGTCATCACACACTGCTGCCTCACGTTCGGCTTTTCAGCCATCAGGACCCCCAGCTCCTTCTCTGCAGGGCTGCCCTCCACCACTGCTCCCCCCACTCCGTATCCACGCCCGGCATTCCTCCAGCCCCACTGCCAAACCCTGCACTCTGCTGCCTCACCACGTTCACCCGGCTCCACCTGCCCACAGCCCATCCGTGTCCATTCCACCCCCGGCGATGGGCGCCCGCAGCTCCGGGCAGCAGCGCAGCGCCGCACGCAGCAAGGAGCTCCCGCGCACCCCGCCTCGCACGCACCTCGCGAGCAGCGCAGCTCCGACAGGGGCACGACGCGGATCTCCCCGCTGCTCAGCACGTCGCCATGCGGCCTCGTCTCTGTGGGAGCGGACGGAGGCTGAGAGCCGCGGCTCCCCGGCCTCGCCTCACCGCGCCCCGCCCGCCGCCCGCCTCAGCGCGGATCCCTCGGCGCCCGCCCGCACTCACGGAAGTATCCCAGCAGCGACACGCCGCGTCCGTGCCGGGCCAGCGATAACGCGTGGTGCTGCATCCGCGGGCTGCGGCCCAGGTCGCCCAGCACCGCCACGCACACCCGGCCCGCACCGCGCACCGCCCGCCGCCGCCACAGCATCGCCGCCAGCGCCGCCAGCGCCACCGACGCGGCCAGAGCGCCGCCGCCGGCCGCCATCTTGGGAGCCCGGCCGGGCACAGCGCCCCCTTCCTGCCTGGCCACGACGGCTCCTGCCGTTCATTGGGAGATCGGTGCCCGAGCGCGAGAAGAAGGGCGTTTGGAGGCTGCGTGTGTGAGCGACAAACACTGAGCGATGGCGAGAGAAGGAAAACCCAGAGAGCGAGCTCGCGGTGCTCTCAAGGCCCTTCGCACGCTCACACACGCATCTGCCAGCGTCCAAGACTGACCAAAGCGCGATGGAATGCAGCACCGTTAACATCACCTGCACACAAAACACATCCAAACCAGGATATCGCAAGGCGGATCCATCTTCAGCACTGCCTACAGAAAGTCTACTGCCTGGGCAACAGCTTTTACACCACCCTGGAATGGTTCTGCACACAGATTTCCTCTCCCCATTCTCCCCAGTCCCCGCCTGCCAGCATTCACAGCTCTGGACCCTGCCTGGCCCTGTCAGCGCGCCCACCCAGCACCGCCATCCCACGGAGCTGGATCAACACGCTCAATGCATTGACTGCTCAGGACTCGGAGCAGGCAGAAACGTGCAGCCCTTCCTCTGCACGGCCCTGCATTTCCAACCTGCACTTCGTCCCCCAGCTGTGACCGTCTGCTCACCTGAGCACTCCGCACAGGCACTCACCCCTGCCACAATAGTGCTCTAACAAACGATTGCCCACTACTTTCCCCAAAAACACTGTGCACCACCACTGACAGCACACTACTTCCAATCGCAGATGTCTTTCGTCTCTCTCTGAGCAGGAAGGTCCCCCCTCTGACGGCAGTCATGAGAAAACGGCATTGAAGCTGAGGAGGAAGATCTGGATTTGGTCTGTTGGACTGGCGTGCTGAGTGCATTAGCTGACCTTTGAAGTCCCGAGACATTTCCTGGCACTGAAGCTGGCAGACAGGCTTTCTGTGAGACCACAGCAGCGTTCCTGTGGTTAAACTGGCAAGGGAAGGCATCCTGTCCCACAGAACAGCACCAAGTTACACGTGAGTTATGACGTGGCTCTCCTTGCTGCAGTACTTTCATACATCCGTCCAGGACAATCTGACAGCTCACAGGAATCATTTCCCACTCCCAGGTAACACCCCCAACGCAAGAAAGCAGGTTTAGGTGCTTGCACCATCAGGGATCTGCCTCAGTCCCTGAGACAGTTTGACAGCACACAAAAGGCAAGGAAAACAGGAGAGGAAACTGAACCTTTCAGCTCGATAAAGACCACTTCAAACTTGCTATTCCCTGCCACCTCAAAAGTGCCACAGGCTTTAGAGTTCCTTTTTCTGCACCGTAGAGCTCTGTCTGCAGCCTGGCTCTGTTTGTATCACTTCCATCAGGTAGCAAAAATAATTTCAAGGCAGGCAGCTGATGCACTGGGACGCAGCAACATTCGTTACGGTGCTTTGCTCCCAGAGGTCACATCATATCCCAGACCAACCGAGGAGAAATTACTCTCTCCTCTGCACAGCCTCTGCAGCCTTCCCACAGCCCTTGAGGACGGTAGGGATACGGCCTGGCAGAAAAGGGATTTCCCTTCTGCTGGGGAACAGGTGCCCAAGGAACGTTCACATCCCACGTGCCGCTGTGTAACCGCTCCATGCCCGTGCCCCACGTGCTTCTGGATGGGCAGCACAGCTTTTGGTTCACTCAGCCACCTGTGGCACAGCACATCAGGCTTTCTGCAGGCATGGGAAATCATCCCATCGCTTTGTGCCTTACAAGGAAAAGGAAAACTTCCACTTGTGAGAGTCCGACTTCCAACCCTTACCGCCTGCAGTGAAAAAGATGCCGTTTTTCTTGTATCCTTCAATTCCAAGCCCATATTTTCCAGAAGGCACAAGAATTCAAATTTGAACTCCAGCGAGCGATTTCAGTGCCTATTTCTGATTGTGGCAATTACTCAGTTCAGAGGTCCCACTTAATTTGAGGTGCCTGTTTTTATTCAGACAAAGGCTGCAGTTGCAGCTGACTCCCCAAGACTGCAATAGGAGGTGGTGACACAGCCTTGGGCTTCTGTGTTTGTGCTAATCCCACGTTTCCTTTCTCTGCCTTGCAGGGCAGCTCGTGCTGCAAGCGGCCAGGATCGCACTGTGAATGAAGGTCGGCGTGGGAGCAGCTGCTGATGGGAGCAGGAAGTCCAGGCTGATGCACTCTGAGACGCGTCTGTCCCCGTAAAACCAGAGGGCTGGCTCATCCAAATGCTTGCTGATTGTTTGGAAGATCAAATTCTGAAGCTCAAATCCTTCCAGCCTCCAAGCTGGAGGCAACATCTCCCGGGTCCAATCGTGCGGCGCCTGAGCGAGAGGGTGACCCGAGATGGCTGCACAAGAGTCACCTTAATTTCACTTAAAATCTTACTTCCAATAACCCCACTGGGTGACCCTTGTGTCGGTCTCTTGGAATTTGGATCTAGGAGGTGACTGTTCCATTGGTTTATAACGTTCCACAGGAGTGATGCGGAACCATGGTGAGGTCACAGTCGTTGCTGGGGTGGCAGGGCTTGGCCCTCCGTGGCGAGCAGAGCTGGTGCTCTAGTGAGCGAGTGGCACACAGAGACTGAGCTCTGAGCGTTTTGTGGCAAGGATCATCCTTGAGAGCCCGTCAGAAGCACCGCTGCGGCGTGTGTGTGACCTGGGCACAGCCTGGACTGACCTGGACCAAGAGGTGAGCTGGGCTTGGTGCTGCGTGGTGGCTGGAAGGAGTCTCAGCAGAAAAGCTGGGCTGGGGAGGACTTCCCAGCTCAAACGAGGCCCTTCCCAATGGCTGTTTCCAGGGGAAATTGATTCTCTCAGAGATTGTGGCACACGTTTGGGTGAGGATGACAAATTGCCATCACTCCCCTGTGTAACACTACAGTGCAACGGAAAGTGCAGCAGTAACAACAGGGTGGCAAAGTCCGAGGCTGCAGCAAGGGAGGATTTGCCCAAGTGCAGCAGTTGGGGACACAGAAAGAAAGGAAAAAAGCTGCTGAGCCTTGGAAGGCCTCAGGTAGCAAGGATCTCCACTCAGACACCCTTACCTCCACTGCCAACCCTTCAGTGATGTCTGGGAAGGGTTTGTGTGCACCTGAGCTGCCCTGCCTTCCCACCAGGTGCTCAATCACTGCCTCAAGCTGTGACTGACCATTGCCACTACAGCCCTGCAAAACTGCTGCTGGGCCCCAGCCTTCACCTCAGACAGGACAAAGGAAGAAGGGCACAGACTTGATGCAGTGCAACTTGTGCTTTAATGACCCACGGAGCGCTGGCTGTGCCGTATCCAGCCCATTTTTAACAAAACCCCACCGAAGTCCCGGTGGAGAGCCGGGTGCTCAGCTGGGGACATGCACTGTCCGGTGACATCACAGGCACGGTGACATCACAAGCACTGTGCTGGGGCCGTTGGCTGCCACCAGTGAGTGCCACAGCCGTGAGCGCTGCGCAGCAGTGTGGACACGCTGCGTCAGCTCTCGTCCCGGCTGGCAGTGAGAGTGGTGGTGGCTGACGGGTGCTGCCCGCTGTCGCTGACGGTGCTGCTCAGCCATTGGGCTGGAGTGTGAGCTGGAAGGGAGAGGGACTGCAGCTGTGCCTGGTAAGCCAGAACTGTAGGTTTGTCAAACGTGGGAGTCGTACCAGTGCATCCATTGCAGCTGCAGCAAGAGGAGAAGATGAATGGAGTCATTTTCATGTCAGGAACGCAAAATGCGTGCTGCTAGGGGTATAACTGGAGGTGTGATGGAGGACAGAGCTTGCTGGGAGAAGTGGTGGCAGTTAGACACAAGGTGGATCTAGACTTGGCACAGTTCTTGCAACCTGCTGCTTCCCAGACACTGCCCTCCTCCAGAGTCCATGCGGCATGAAAGAAGAAAGCTGCAAAATGCTTATTCCTCATGATTCTTCCCTTGTTGACGCCTCCTCTAGGGTTCCTGTCCGAGAGGACATTTTGTGCATCCCAGCAGGTGCGGACTGCAGCCGGCTCCTTCATAGAGCAGGGAATTCCTTTGGAGACAGCCCATCCTTGCTCCAAGAAGTTCCCCATGGCTCTGCAAGGAGACGACTGCTACTACTATTTCAACTCCGTCTGTCTTAAGGTACGCTTGGGAGTCTTTTGCCTGGATTTCCTTCCTTTCCTCGCTTTGAAGAGGAAGGGCTGGAGCAGGGGGAGACCTGCTGGCGATGCGTTGCCTTCCTCAGCAGAGGCATTGTGCGCTCCCTGCTACCAACCTGGGCCGACAGCACGGACGTCTTTCAGGCTGTGCTCTTATTCTCCTGTGTGCTCTCCTTTTGCTCACAGGGAGACAGATGTCCCTTCCGCCACTGTGAGGCGGCTCTGGGCAGCGAACGAGTCTGCCGACTGTGGATACAGGGCTGCTGTTTCCGCAACGACTGCAAGTTCAGGCACATGAAAATTGAAGTGAGTGTTTGCCTGAAGATGAGCTCTCCACCTCCCTCAGGCACCACCTGCAGCGCTGCATCTCTCTGCAAACCTCCTCTGCCTGTTTCCATGACCCTTCCTTGCTTTCTCTCTTCAGAAGCAGCGCAGCGCGGTTCCCTGCTACTGGGAGAATCAGCCGGGAGGCTGTCAGAAAGCCCACTGCCGTTTTCTTCACTTGAAGGAACGCGGTGGGAACGGACCGACCGTACCACCAAGTGACGGTGAGTTCCTGATGGCATGAAGCATGACAGACTTCATGATGAATATTGCTCCTGAGCGGGTGCAGGATGTCAGGTAACCATTCATTGGGGAGTGCAGGGAAGAGTGGTGATCAGTGAAATATTGGTTTGTGTTTTGGCTGTCAGAATAGGGGTGGGTGTTTTCTGGAGAGAGGTAAATGCTGACTGCAGAAATGGCACAACATCTTATCAGCAAAAGGCAAACGCAAGAAACTATGCTTGAAAATTGGAAGCTTGTGGACTGGTGTGCTGAAACCTTCCTCCAAAGAGATGCTCTTCAATTATTTCTTGTCTTCCTTCTGCCAGAAGCTGACACAAGCCTTCCACTGAACAGCGGCCCTGCAGAAAGTCTGGAGAACCAGACAGAGGTTGAGGAGGCAGCAGAAGGAGGTATAGATACTGAACAGGCATCTGGGTTTGAGGCGCTGGCTTTCGACTCCCATGTTCTGATGGTTCTCTCCTGGACTGTTCTCTGCAGGTGACATCCCATCTTCCTCCCATGGCCCCGCTGCGCAAAAGCGCAAGCAATGTGATGAGGAGGAGGACGACAAAGCTGAGGAACTGCCGCGCAAGAAAAGAGTCAAGGGTGAGCACCAGGAGCTTGTTGCAGTGCCTCAGCACAGTCATGCGGCCACTCAGCGTTGTTGTGTGTCAGAATTTTCCTTGCCCTGGACTATTGCTGAGTGCAGCTCTTGGCACCTTATCAGCAACCTCTTCCTTTTCCTTCAGCTGGACGCAAGGTGCGCGGGAGGCCTATTGACTGGAAGACCACCTTCCCCACAATGCGGAGACTGAAGCGCAAAGCAGCGGAGATGCAACCATCTGCTGCTGAGGACGCCGACGAGCCCCCAGCCAGAAAACTGCCTATGGTAACAGCAGCAGTAGTGCGTATGGGAGGTTTACACTGCTCTCGTAGTAATGGTTCAAGTTTCAAATGTTCCACAGGTCTTCTGTTTCCTCGGAAGGCAGCAGGTGTCTCCCAGGGCACTTGTGGAAATTCTCTGTTGCAATTAGATGTACACAGATTTTGTCCATGAACGCTGCGCTGCTAAAAACTCCCAAGGTCACTTGTAACCTTCAAGGGAACGCTTTCTTCAGGAGCAAGGCGCTTCTGTATCTGGGATAAGCCTCAGCAGCACCCAGGGAAGGGAGGAGCAGTCCTCAAAGATCATCCGGTGTTCCTCCTGTGCTACTGTGGCCAGGGATGCCAGCCACAAGATTCTAATGCCTGGAAACCCATCCAGCCAGGCCCAGAATGCCTCTGGCAATGGGGCATCCACAGCTTCTCCGAGAAGAAGAGCCACTTAGAAAAGCTTTGAGCCCTGCTTCACACACACTGTCTTGTTTCTTCCAAGGCGATCCTTGCTTCAGTCCCGCCCGAGTACACCCTGGTCAGCGTTGAAGTCCTGAAGCTTCCAAGCAGGTGATGACCGCTACTTGTTCTTCACCAGTGCCCTTTATCCATTGCACATAATTTCTTTCACATCAGGGGACAAGTGGAGTGTTAGAGATGTGCCGTGGCATAACCCAACAAAGGAAGAAGTCATCTGCACTAATTTCAGTTGCTCACTCAAAGTCTCTGCTGAGTATGTCACGGGGAGCAGGAACTCAGTCTCTAACAGGTGCACGTAACAGAGGATGACTTCTTCATGCATTTACAGTCAAACAATGAGGCTGGCAGTGTGCTTCTGCTACAAAACCTGGCCTGTCAGGTGCTGATTGTTCTCTTCCTTGTTCTCCCCAGTCTGGAACTGCTTCCAGGAAGCCAGGCAGACTCTGTGGCACCACCAGAGATCCCACACTCAACATCCCGTGCCACACAAGAAGCTGACCAGGCGCAGCAGCTGAGCTGCACAGAGGTGGGGAAAGAACACTTCTCTGAGGATGAGGACCTCGAGAAGTTACTGATGGATTTCACAGAAGAAGAACTGGACGCAGAAATTGATGACGACTCTGTGGATATAGATGAGCTCCTAATGGAGCTCTGAGACCAACGACATCACAACATCATAGTCTGATTGTATATTTTACAACAACAACATCAACCATCAATTAAAACCAATCCTATTCCTTTTCAACCCTGTTCCTTGTCTTTCTGTTTCTGAGGGGACGCTCTTTCTCAAACTGTGCAGTGAGTCTTGAAGCAGAGTCAAACTGGTCAAAATCAGCAGTGCCTGCATTCTGTTCTCCTGACTTCCATGCTGCTCAGAGTTCAGGGGCCGTGCACCCACTCCCCAGCCCTGGGCGGCTGCCTTCAGCATCAAGAGCACAAAGCACTGGTGTGGGCACAGAAAGACGTCCATCCGCAAGGCCAAACCTGAAACCTCTTCCTTCCTCCCCCCTTAGCAAAACTCTGCATTGGCTTCAAGTGGAAGCTCTGGGGTTCTGCTTCCTTCAACACTGCTTTTGTGTCAACTGCAGCGCTGCCACCCCCACCTCCCACTTTCTCCCCCTTCCCTCAGCTCTCACGCTGCATGGTGCGGTTCTTCTCCTTGAACAAAAGCTGCACACCCAGTACAACCAGCACACCCCTTTCCTTGCCTACACCCTGCTTGCCCGTGGGCAGCAAGGGGCAGCGGCTTGCAGCGTTAGGGCAATCCCTTATTGCATCTGACTCCTGCTGCTCATCCCATTGCCCAAGAACAGCGGTGGAGCCACTCAGCTCCTGACAGCCCAGTGCATCTGCACTGGATCCTGGCCAAGGGGGCAGCACGGAATTGGTGAGGCCAGCAAATGCTGGCGCTTGTGCCGCTGGCGCTAAGGAGCAGAAGGTGGCACCATCCATGGAGCTGCTCTGTACAAGCACCTGGCCCAACCTGGGTCGGGACGCCTCTCAGTGATGAACACAGCCTCAGGGCTGTCTATCAGTGGAAGCTGGGGCAAAGTCCTCCCACTCGAGTCAGCCACAGTTGTCACCCCCTGAGGAAGGCCAGTGCATGGTGAACGTCTGCTCTACATTCAAGGCGAGGGAAACCGTGAGCAGAGGCCAGCTCACTCTTCTTACATTCACTTCCCTACTTGTTTATCTCTTTAAATTATAGCATTTCTATCTCAAATGTTGTTTTACATCCACACATTTCTCTTTTTCTGTGTGTGCCCGTGACCATCCGTACACAGGTGTAGGGCATTATGTGAGCCAGTGTGGATCTTGTCCTTTCAGATTAACATAACAGGTTCCAGTTCATGTGCTATGTTCAAACCAGGAACACTAATGCCCTTTCAGTAATAACTCCCATGTGTGCCCTAGGCCCTGCTCCTATTAACAGAACAGCAGATATTATTTGCAGCTTAGACACAAAGTCGGCGACCCTCATCGCTCTACGCAAAGACTTCCACAAATACGGACAGACAGAGTTGCCACTTACAGAGAAGACCAACAGGAATTGTTTGTGTAAAGGGAAATGCCCTCCTCTGCAACCTCCAAGGAATAAAGGTGCTCAAAGCTCACCTTTCAAACACCTTCAGAGGTTTTTGAGAAGGCCATATGTCTTCACAACTTGCTGCAGGCTGTTTCCTGGAGTGTGTGCTTGCATGTGACAGCCCTGGCAAGCATGGCAACGTGTTAGAAGTCTGATCAACATCAGGAAAACTGCATTCAATGCAGAAGATCACAGAATGGCCTGGGTTGGAAGGGACCTCAAGGATCATGAAGCTCCAGTCCCCTGCCACACGCAGGGCCACCAGCCTCCACATTTCACACCAGCCCAGGCTGCCCAGGGCCCCATCCAACCTGGCCTTGAACACCTCCAGGGATGGACGGGGCATCACAGCCTCTCTGGGCAGCTGTTCCAGCACCTCACCACTCTCACAGCAAAGAACTGACATCCAACCTCAATCTGCCCTCCCTCAACTTCAAACCATTTCCCCTTGTCCTGCTGTTATCCACCCTTTTCAGGAGTTGACTCCCCTCCTGTCTGTAGGCTCCCTTTAGGTACTGCAGGCTGCAATGATGTCACCCCCAGCCTTCTTTGCTCCAGGCTGAACAAGCCCAGCTCCCTCAGCCTGTCTTTGCAGTGGAGGTGCTGCAGCCCCTGATCATCTCTGTGGCTCCACTACAGCCTCTCCAACAGCGCCCTGTCCTTCTTGGCCTGGGGGCTCCAGCCCTGGACGCAGTGCTGCAGATGGGGCCTCACAAGAGCAGAGCAGAGAGGGACGCTCACCTCCCTGTCCCTGCTGCCCACCCCTCTGCTGATGCAGCCCACGATCCCGTTTGCTTTCCCAGCTGTCATCACACACTGCTGCCTCACGTTCGGCTTTTCAGCCATCAGGACCCCCAGCTCCTTCTCTGCAGGGCTGCCCTCCACCACTGCTCCCCCCACTCCGTATCCATGCCCGGCATTCCTCCAGCCCCACTGCCAAACCCTGCACTCTGCTGCCTCGAACCTCACCACGTTCACCCGGCTCCACCTGCCCACAGCCCATCCGTGTCCATTCCACCCCCGGCGATGGGCGCCCGCAGCTCCGGGCAGCAGCGCAGCGCCGCACGCAGCAAGGAGCTCCCGCGCACCCCGCCTCGCACGCACCTCGCGAGCAGCGCAGCTCCGACAGGGGCACGACGCGGATCTCCCCGCTGCTCAGCACGTCGCCATGCGGCCTCGTCTCTGTGGGAGCGGACGGAGGCTGAGAGCCGCGGCTCCCCGGCCTCGCCTCACCGCGCCCCGCCCGCCGCCCGCCTCAGCGCGGATCCCTCGGCGCCCGCCCGCACTCACGGAAGTATCCCAGCAGCGACACGCCGCGTCCGTGCCGGGCCAGCGATAACGCGTGGTGCTGCATCCGCGGGCTGCGGCCCAGGTCGCCCAGCACCGCCACGCACACCCGGCCCGCACCGCGCACCGCCCGCCGCCGCCACAGCATCGCCGCCAGCGCCGCCAGCGCCACCAGCGCCACCGACGCGGCCAGAGCGCCGCCGCCGGCCGCCATCTTGGGAGCCCGGCCGGGCACAGCGCCCCCTTCCTGCCTGGCCACGACGGCTCCTGCCGTTCATTGGGAGATCGGTGCCCGAGCGCGAGAAGAAGGGCGTTTGGAGGCTGCGTGTGCGAGCGACAAACACTGAGCGATGGCGAGAGAAGGAAAACCCAGAGAGCGAGCTCGCGGTGCTCTCAAGGCCCTTCGCACGCTCACACACGCATCTGCCAGCGTCCAAGACTGACCAAAGCGCGATGGAATGCAGCACCGTTAACATCACCTGCACACAAAACACATCCAAACCAGGATATCGCAAGGCGGATCCATCTTCAGCACTGCCTACAGAAAGTCTACTGCCTGGGCAACAGCTTTTACACCACCCTGGAATGGTTCTGCACACAGATTTCCTCTCCCCATTCTCCCCAGTCCCCGCCTGCCAGCATTCACAGCTCTGGACCCTGCCTGGCCCTGTCAGCGCGCCCACCCAGCACCGCCATCCCACGGAGCTGGATCAACACGCTCAATGCATTGACTGCTCAGGACTCGGAGCAGGCAGAAACATGCAGCCCTTCCTCTGCACGGCCCTGCATTTCCAACCTGCACTTCGTCCCCCA